CACACACACTCTCTCTCTCTCTCTCTCTCTCTCTCTCTCTCTCTCTCTAACACACACACAGATGCACACACACACACACTCTCTCTCTCTAACACACACACAAACGCACACACACTCACACACAGACGCACCCACACAAACATACATAGATGCGCACACACACACACACACACTCACACAAGCACACACACACACACACACAAACACACTCCTCAGGATGAAGTGTGATGCATGTTGGTCTAGTGAGGATTAAGGCTTGCTGCTTGCAATGGACCTCAAAGACATTTGTCCAAACAGATGCTTACGAAATAATTTTTTCAAACTTTTCTGACCCATTTTTGTAGCTTGGTTTCAGTAAATGGTCTGGGTGAACTGGAAAGGGAGTGTTGTTAGCATCGCATCTGTTTACACATTTCCTCTGGGAAGTGGCTGGCGTAGTAATGTCTGACCTTCTTAACTGTCTCTTGTGTGTGTGTAATGCATGCATGTGTGTGTGTGTGCAGTAGGTCACGGTGGCCCGTACACTCCTGATGGTCAGCCAGTGGGTGGTTTTGTAATGGACGGGCAGTCGCACATGGGCATCAGACCACCAGGTACATCAAGCCTGTCTAAATATTCAGATGTTTGAGGGACAAAATGAACATCCAGCCTGAAATGAAGTCAGCAAAGCACTGCTTGATTTATAAAATGCTCCTGAAAAGGATGATTCACCCCAAAAACTAAATCAATATATAAGAAATTATATTTTGCCTAAAAAAAAAAGAAGCCAACAGTTTGATGTGGTATTTAGGACATTTAAGCACACTTTACCTCTCGGTTCTCGTTACTGTACACAAAAAATGAACACTTTTATTCAGTAGTGATGCATTAAATTGAAAGTGTCAGGACAGACATTTATAATGCTACAAATGATTTCTGTTTCAAATAAATTTTGTCCTGTTGAATTTTATATTTTTCAAAGAATCAAACATCAGAGAGATATATATATATATATATATAAAACAAAAAATATTGTCAGGCAAATTTAGAACAAGAATCATTATATGACATTAAAAGACTATTTAAGGATCACAGTGAAGCCAGTGAAGATCACTTTTTCTTTTATATATTTTAATAAGTACAGATTAGAATAAGCATGTTGTTTCATTTTTACATGTTACACTGAATGAATATATTCAGTATATATATATAATATATATATATATATATAAAATTCAAATATTGTTATTAAAATATAATCAGAAGTATGCAAAATTCCTAAAAGAAAACTTTCTTTACACAGTATTTACTCAAAATTCACCAAATAAAATGTGAAAGATCCGTTGTCAAGGCTGTTGGTTGATGTTTTTGTGAATATATTATATAGTGAATATATAATAGCTGATATAATTTCACGCATTAAAGTCTCTCTCTCTGTCTGTGTCTGTCTCTCAGCGGCTCTGGGTGGTCTTGGGGGAGTGAATATGGGGCTGGAGAGTCAGTGGCACTACATGTAAACACACCCCTGGCATCCTGCTGAACACAGCAGAGCAGAGGTACCATACTGCACCAGGCATTCCCCTCGAATGAAAGCAGCTCTCACGGCTGTTTGCCCCAGCTAACAGTCATACTTCTCTCACGTTTCCAATGATTTTTCAAAGTCATAAAACAGAGTAGCATAGTATGTTTCACAAGGAAATACTTTCTCAGTGTTTAGACTTCATGAAAATGTCATGTTTATTCAATGTGTTACTTGCTGTTTCTTTGTGAAATTTACTAGCAGTCCCCATCCAGTAATTCCACCGTCACATGGTATTAACCGGCCAACCTGATTAACTAGTCACTTAATTACTCAGTGGAGACAGTTTATGACATCGGAATCAGTTAATGTCTCAACCCACAGGAAAAGATAAAGATGAAAGCGGCTGTTTTGATGGAAATGTCAGCTGAATTGATTTGCAACAGCGCCGTCGCCAGTAATGTTTCCTCATAAATGATTTCAACTCTTTTTCATTACAGAGTCAGGCTTTTTGGCGAGAGGATCGATCCTTTGGACGTCCTTTTTGGACTGATTCGGAAATTGGATTTTGACTTGCACCACCATGAACGGCCTTTATTCAAATACCCTAAAGAAACCCCCTACAGCTTTACTCTTGGAACGAGGCGCCGTCCTCGTGATACAGACGCTTTCAAGATGGCCACCAGGACTCACGTTCCCTGTGATGGGCAGATCAAGCGTATCAGGACAGAGAGAAAACAATACAGGAAAAAGAAATGCCTCAACACCTGGACGGAGAGATTCCTTCATGTGACCTTTCACCTGGAACCAGGTGAATCTTCAAGTGGCCTGAAAGGCCAAAAAAAAAAGTCTCATGTTTCAACTCAAGTGCCACCTGAAATAAAGAGTCATTATTCTGCAGACAAAAACCCCGGAGTATTTTTGCAGCGACAGACATCGACGTCACCCTACCACACGTCTGCGTCACACTTCGCAGGCATCTGTTACAGGAGTTCTCGATCTGATCTGTGCAAAGCAATTCAATACAAAGCCGTAAATGTATATAATGCTGCTGGATGTGTCAAACGTGATACAGAAAAGGTTCATAAACGCTGGTATTGCCCGATGAATGCAACTAAAGGTTTCTCACACATCATTTACTGCAGTATAAATGGGCTTAGATGCATCTGAACGGTCAATGATTTTGAAAGGTACTAATGATTGTTTTGGATTTGACTGACATGAGCTGAGCTGTATATTCACACTGTGTGTGTGTGTGTGTGTGTGTGTGTGTGTGTGTTTGGTTTTCAGTGAGTGTGGGTTTATTCACATAAAAATTCATACCTCAACACATGTTATATCATTTTTGTTGCACGTCTGCTTCGATTAATTGACTGTGTTTGGAATGGACTACTAGTGTACTGCTTTCTATACAGTATATTATGTACAGTGCATACTAATTTTAATAATAGTGCACTACTGTTCAAAAGTTTGAGGTCAGTAAGGTTTTAAATTGATTAAAAGTGACAGTAAATACATTTGTAATGTTACAAAAAGATCTATTTCAGATAAATCCTAAAAAAAAAAAAATTTATTATGGTTTCTACAAAAATATGAAGCAGCGTAACTGTTTTCAACATTGATAATAATCAGAAATGTTTCTTGAGCAGCAAATCAGCATATCAGAATGATTTCTGAAGGATCATGTGACACTGAAGACTGGAGGGATGATGCTGAAAATTCAGTTTGCATCACAGGAATAAATTACATTTTACAATATAGTCACATAAAAAGCAGTTATTTTGATTTGTACTCATCTCACAATATTACTGTTTTTATTGTATTTTTGATCAAATAAATATATCTTTGGTGAGCAGAAGAGACTGCTTTCAAAAACATTAAAAACTCCAACTGACCCTAAACTTTTGAATGATAGTGTATGTAAAACAATATGCAATTATCAATGTTTCAAACAGATGTGACCTTAGTATGTTACATGTTTCTTTCGGTATCAGCTCAAAAATATGTTTAACTTCCAATTTTATCCAGTTTTGTGTAAAATTTGCTTTTATTGGAAGTCTAAAACTCTGTCAAGAGTTGTACCAAATAATTCTAAAAACGTCTTCCCAAATAATGAGAATGAGACAAGACGGCACCATGTCCAGAGTACTTGTCACACTGAGTACATTGCATTGTGGGATACAGTGTTCCATTGTGGGGCTCAGTTAAATACTACACATTTTGGCAAACATAGTATGTATTCTATGCATACTGTATATTATTTACCTACTATTTACTGGAGAAATAGTAGTATGCTCCTATGTTGTTCTGAACAGCCTTTGCGTTGTTGGTAAGTGGACTGCACACTGGAGCCGGTGTGTATCGTCCTCTGTAGGGCACTTGAGGTATTGCTTTCTCCTGTGGTTTGTATTGTAGATGACTTGTTCTGGTTAAACTGAACATTTCATCAGCAACTGGGGTAAACTAATGCCTAGTCAATGTCCAGACAAACATATATATGCACATTCTCATCTGAAATGAACTATTTCCTATAGAATAGGAAGGAGGATTGAATGAGAGATGGTGGCTTATGAACATGGGTTGTGGTATGAAGGTGAGTTATGGTCAGAGAAATTAAAATGTCTGGGTCGGTTTTTAATGCTTGATCCTGCTCTTCTTCCACTTTCCTGTTTAAACTCACTACCAAAACAAACCCGGCATCATCTCAACACAGGAGAATCTTGAAGCTTATCCAAAACCATGTTTACAATTCTGGCAAACTGTTTTACATTGACATATTTTACTCTGAAACAGCCGTCCTGTTTGCATTATGAGTGCATGTTTCAGATCAGTTATTCCTACAGACCTTTAGCTGTACATGAGTACTGTATGTTTAATGAAATCTACAGAATTTTTAGGATGATAAAAGGTTTTTTCATTCTGAATGCAATGCATCCAGAAATGTTACTTTTAAACTGCATTATATATGTATATATATATATATATATACACACACACACACACACACACACACACACTATGATGTTTTTCAGGTTTTTTTGAGTTTATTTTATTTTATATATACACTATATTTTATTTTTTATATATCTGATGTTTATATTGATTTTTTTTCTTTTTTTTACATTACAGTAATGAGTAAGTCAGAGGGGAAAGTGTGCTTAATTGTCAAAAAATGGAGATTTTTTCCTTAAAACAGGCTTCACTGTATTTAAGCAAAATATAATTTATTATTTGGCGTTACATCAGCTCTGAATGATTAACAAGTACATGTTTTAACCATTTAAATCATGCATATAATACCACAATCGAAACGAGAAAACGAGGGGATTGAATATCTCTCTGGATCGGTTTCAGTTCAAGGGTAAAGAGAGAAACGAAGAGAACGAGAGAAAGAGACAAACAGATGGGTGTCGGGTTGTCTTGTGAAAGCTTGTAGGACAGGAAGTTGCCCTCGTTTGAAGAAGAAACTGGCATCATTTAACAAAGACACAGACTTAGGCTACAGTAGTCAAAATTCACCCTGTTTACTTAATGAATGATTCAGTGTGCCTTATTCCAAATAACTATATTTATTTATCTTAATCTTGCAGAGCATAACACTAAAGTTAAGGCATTTATTTTTCTTTCGCTGTATAATAATAATAAGTGTTTCCTACCATTTTACTCATTTGGCACAGCAGTGGTATGTCAGAAGATAAAGAATGATGGATAATCAGTACATGCGTTCAATGGACTGTACTGTTGTTTAACAACATAACGATTGTTCAGCTGACTAAATGTCTTTCAGTAGACAAAAACTCCATTAAACAGTTTTTAAACTCGTGAGTAGTACAAATTACAGGACCTTTAGGCCTATACATTGTGCGCCATTGTAAAGAAGACTGTAAGTCTGTCCCTCAAAGCCTTGTTTTCATCTGCATTAAAACATCCACACCAACCAGTGTTGCCAACTCATTTTCAGAGAAAGTTGCTAAAGGCAGGTCGATTTGTTGCTAAAAGTTGCTAAATGACGTTATGATGTCATTGCGTGACAATATTTTATATATGTTAATTTAGATTTGTTTGTAAAATATGAGGCATAATATAATATTAAAATATTACTATTTTTGAACACTTACACATTTTTGAATGATAACAATTTAAGTTTTTTTAATAGTTAGTAAACTAGTAATACTACACATTCTCAACCATTATGCTTTAAGCAGTGTATTAGTAGTTAGTTAGTATGCTACACTCTAAGAAAAGCCAGTAGGAATAGGGCACAATCTACTATGTTAATATGAAAGAATTTTCCGTATTGGTTTGTTACCGACATTTTATATTACACATTGTGTTTTCGGGTTACAGGGTTACAATGGATAATGGATAATGTCCTGGAAAATTACTATCTTTTCCATTTTTCCTACAGTGTACTAATTAATATATTAATACTAGACACCTTAATGATAATGTGGACCAAAAATCTTTGTCATATCTTCATGTTAACATACTTTACTAACCTTTTGTTTTGGAGCTTTGATGCAGCCGCTCTGGTCATGTGACAGTTTGCACTAACCATGTGACACTGCACACGTTTAATTGAGACCCTTTATTTTTTCCATATTTGCAGGAAATGCACTAAAACATCAGTCAGTATGGTTTTTAGAGCTTTATAAATGAAAAACTTTTTTACGGGCACTATTGGGATTAAATGGGTTAAGGATAACAATCCTTTGTGTCTGTATCGTTAGTTGTGTATGCACGCCTATATTCTCATAGAATTAGATTGACTATTTGAGGGAGTGTTTACACAACAGTTTTTATGTGTTTTTTGGCCATTCATTTATATGACAATGGCATTTTGGGTTTTTAGTCGCTCTCATGGATCTGTGTGAACGTTGTTGTCTGAACTTTTCCAAAACGCAAAGGAAAACCTTTTCCATTTTTAATACAATCGTTGGAGTGTAAACGTACCCTGAAACTATAAATGTATAGTTATCGTTACAGTTATTGTGCTTGGTGTGAACGGACCTTAAATGGCAATCAGAATGTCAAATCACAAACTTACAAGAAACGAGCCTTACAAAATCACTCAGACGAAGATGTGAACTGTTTGATGGGTCAGCAATCTCAGCATGCGTACAGTTAGCAACCGACCCCTGTGCGACCCTCGGCCAAACCACACCAAAGACAGGCCTGTGAGTGATTACGCAATTTCACACACACATATTTACACATTCAATCAGCTCCTCTAATCAGGATCTAACCACAAAAAAGGCCAACCAGGGGTCGTTAGGTACCTTTTCTGATGACATCATCAGACTGCCGCGGGTAACCGGAGCTGGACCGGCTCTGGCGACTGTACAGGGCTGTATATCACAGAGTTTCCCAATAACCGACTGTCCGCAAGAACAGCCATTTATCAAATAAAAGGCCTAGCAGTGCAGACTGTGTGTGTGTGTGTACGTACCCAGCCCGGGCTCAGATATAAACATAAGTAATCTGTTGAGGTAGCTTTAGCAATGACAGGGCAGTCAATCAGGCCTCCGTCTACATGTCAGCCTGACAGTTTAACAGTTCATGGGAGATTTATTAGCCACGGGTCAGATCAAATAATATATCCCCAGTCTGCTCTTGTTTAGAATGACTTAGCTCTATTGATTAGACTCACCCGTGAGGCCCCTTCTGACATGGGCAGAGCTCACAGGAAACTCAGCTAAATTGCCAAACCACAATATATCATGCTTTGATAATTCAATGAGATGGTCTTCATTTATCATATGGGTGAACAGCTACAGTGATTCTGGAAAAAGGACATCCTAAATATGCCTTCAAGGGACAGTTCAGCAAAAAAAAAAGTAAAGTAAATTCATTACTTTTACTCTCATGTTGTTCCAAATCGGTATGTGAATACATGCAACTCTTTTCCATTGAACATCAATCAAGGTCCAAAAAAGGACCCAAAACAGCATAATAGCACTACAAAAGTGGTATAATTATATTATATTTCATATTTAACAGTTCGCAAGTGAAAATAAACATGAAACATAAAAAAATATGGGTTTGGAATGACATGATGGTGAGTAAATAAAAAAAATAAGATAAAATAATGATGATAATAATTATAGATAGATAGACAGACAGATAAAAATAAATAAATAAACAAACAATAGGATTGGACTAAAATAAATAACTATATAAATTATACGTCTAACAGTATAGTACTACAGTGAGTGAAAAAAAACTTAATAGAAACTAAATAGTTATTTTAAAATTATTTTTTACCATTCAAGTTTAGATAAAAACGGTTTAAATAGTGTAGAAATAAGTAATT